GGGTTGCGGCCTCGGCTGCAACCCTTCTTACTTTCTGATTTCATGATGATACCCTGACTTTATTACGTTTTTCCCTTTCAGATTCATTCCCTCAGGGAAAAAGTTTCGAAGCGAACTTATTTTTAAACAATACTTTTTGTTCCATAGAAAAAGGGAAATTTTGGAAGTGAAAATTTCCTGTACAGGTAGTTCTCTAGGTGATGATTTTTTAAATTATATTTTTTATTTTAGGATTCATCTCATCAGGACGTATTATTGGTGGGGACATATTTTCAGCTATTTATTGATTTTACTAAATTGGGGTTGATGTAGGAATCTGGAAAGCAAGTTGTTCTTGGGATATTGATTTAAAGGAAAACCCTATTTGTGAAGTATATCTCCTCAGGACAAACTTTTTCTGAGGGACGTTTTTAACGAAGCCTTTTTGGCTTAATTGAAATGAGCAGATATAGAAATGTAAAATTTGCTGATTTTGTAGTTCCTGTGGTAGTGATTTAGGGAAAGATTCTACGTGCAGGATTATCGCATGAGGGCACTTTTTCTGATTGGGAATTACTATACGGAATTGTTTCGCTCCAAAGAAACGGAGTGACTTTGATATCTGAAACTTGATATAAGGGTACATTTTAGATGGAGATGTAATCACTCTTTTGGAATTCATTCCGGCGGGGGGAGGGGCAATCAGGGTGATGTTTACAATTAAGCTTTTTTTCCCAGTGAAACAGGAACATGAATTAAACTGAAATTCTGTTAACATGTAGTTCTACAAAAGATAGCTTCAAAAAAGCCCAAACTTTAGGTCGTTCCATTGGGGGATGCATTTTTAAACAAGGACTTTTTAAAGAAAATTTTCACTGCAGTGATTCGGTTAACAACAGGCATCTGAAACATGGTATATAAATATTTATTGGGTCCACACTTTCACAAGACATTTTACTTCTTGGAAATATTACATTGGGAATTTTTTAAATCTTTGTTAGGCAGCCCTTTTTTCCTGCAGTAAAGTGGGGAGACGTATATACTGTATGTTAACTTTCCTTTTTGCTTGTCGGATTTTGGTTCAGCGAGAGTCATAACGGGGCTTGGGATGGGAGTATTTTCATCCTCGAGGTACTTTTGATGGGGTTGGAGACTGGATAACCTTGCGCATTTTCGTTCAAAGAAAACATATTCTCTCCGTTTTTCCACTAGGGGCACAGTGTGATGAAAAACTGCAACAGGACATTTTGGGGGAAACACAAAAGCTTGGCTTGCTTCATTTAATTAACAACTGGCTGGCAATGACTTCACACAGCCAGAAGTAATTTGAAGCTACAATGAATAATACATTTGACCCAATGTATTTCACTTTATTGGTAGGTGAGAATCGAAAATGGATGCTTGAAATGCACCCTAAATGTTTTTGGAGCGCAGAGCTCCGATGGCGCGTCCATGGCGGGTTGGCTTCCTCAAAGGGCAAACAGACTCACTGGTGTTTAAACGCAGGAATAAAGGTGCAATCAAAATAATTAATCTGGTGAAATTCAAAAGCCACTCATGAATTCTCAAAATGAGACTTTCACGGGAATGAACTCAAATTACTATCGCCTGACGAAAGCGGAAGATTGTTTTCAGGTCTATCAAAAGAGTCTGAAAAGAATATTCATAAGCCATCCTCAATGGTCTTAAAGTTCCCTTTCGTAAGTTCCTTCACGTTCTTCGCGAAGGTCAAGGTGAATTTCCTGAAATTGAGAAGAATGAGGGCGATACACCTCCAAATGCCTGAAGCACATGTGTCAGTTTCGTCTCCACTACTACTTCATCCGACTTAAGAACATTATATAATTGGATGAAATGGACAAGGATAAGCAAGGACATACTGTATATTCTATGGAACCCTAGAGGATAATGATAGAATCTCATAGGTAGAATATAGAAATCTTACAGGATCCTGTAAGAAACCTAATGTATTAGAATTCCTATAGGAATTCTAACACTCCTGAGGCGACATCCACCTTGTTTCAAATCCATCTGGCAATTNAACCCTATAGGTTCTATAGGGGGATCGATATGTTCTATAGGGAACTCTATAGGTTCCAAACTGAACTCTATGGGGCATATAGGACCCTATAGGATTCCTTTAGGTTCCTATAGGATTTCTATAGGAATCCTATATATTCCTAAGGGAATATATAGGAATCCTATAAGACATTTTCGTAAGGGCTACCTTCCACCTGGTTCGGAGTGTCGATCGAAACAGCTAGTTTTCTTCCACATGTAGTAGCTGATGGTGTTAAAAAAAAAGACTGAAGCATCTGAGAGGCATGAGCTGGGATGATGGCCAGACCCGTGAAATATCATTACAATGCGTTTAATTGCCAGATGGATTTGAAACAAGGTGGATGTCGCCTCAGGAGTGTTAGAATTCCTATAGGAATTCTAATACATTAGGTTTCTTACAGGATCCTGTAAGATTTCTATATTCTACCTATGAGATTCTATCATTATCCTCTAGGGTTCCATAGAATATACAGTATGTCCTTGCTTATCCTTGTCCATTTCATCCAATTATATAATGTTCTTAAGTCGGATGAAGTAGTAGTGGAGACGAAACTGACACATGTGCTTCAGGCATTTGGAGGTGTATCGCCCTCATTCTTCTCAATTTCAGGAAATTCACCTTGACCTTCGCGAAGAACGTGAAGGAACTTACGAAAGGGATATTTGGGAATGTGACATTCCAGGAAATTTTCATTTGGTCGACACGCTTGACCTTGGATCCCGCAGCATTGCTTTCTTCAAAGGATCGACTGGAGGACGTATCAATCATGTCCAGCGCCATGGAAGAGTTCCCGTTTCACATCCTTCCACAGCTGACCAAGTTGAAAAGATTGGACCTCACTGGCAATCTGTTGAAGAGGGTGCCCGCCCTCGCAAGTCCCAGTCTGGAGATCCTGATTTTTTCACACAATGAAATAGAAAGACTTGATCCAGGATGGTCCATTCCCCATTTGGTGACACTGAGTATCAGTGAGTTCGATCATGCATCCATTTAGTCGGTTTCTTTGAAGGCTTCAGAGCCTTAGACAAAATCTATGTTTGAAAAGTCATTGAAAAGCGAAGCTTTTGTAGATGGTCGAAACGTCCTCGTGCATTCATTAATTATATCCTTCGAAATGGCGTTAGTTCAATGGCCAAAATTAATACTTCCATACTTTTCGGTTTTCGGAATTGCTGGAAATTATGCGATTCTGTATCGTTCCATTTTTTCCCCCTTAGAATACAACCCCATGACGGACTTTCCCCCTGGACTGGTCGAGGGAATGAGGAAACTGACGCATTTTGATGCTTCTGGCTGCAATCTGGGACCGACTTTATCGAAGGGATCCCTGACGTTCCAGAGCGAAGTATTGTCAGCAGTGTCTCTAAAGCGAAATGAAATCGTCAATCTGGAGCGAGGGGCCATCACAGGTTATGTTTTCAATTCCAGTATACCATCATCAAATGAAACAGCAAGAAACTCTCCAGTTTTAATGAAGGCTCAGGAGTAAAAATACTATTCATACTAAAAGAAACTCCTGGTGAAACCAATGACGGCATGCGTGAGACTAAGATTTTTTGCGGCTGGTCTGGAAACTAAAATTCAAATACAATTGGAGTTTCGTCACATGGATTTCTTAGGAGGCGAAACGATGTGATTAATCTATTCATTCTTCGGAAGATCGCAATCAATGAATAAATTATTAATCATGCAATTACTAAAGAATTGATGACCATCTATCATCTAGGCCCGAAGGGCTAACACGCGAACCTCTTTCATCTCATTAAAAATCGCAATGCAGAGCAAAAGCTACATTGAAGCACTGGGAATGGATTCACCAATGAAACAAAGTGATGTAACGTGAAATAAACCTCAAGGGTGAAATATGTTTTAACCGTGTTAACTCGCGTTTGTTTTGCGGAAGTAGGCAAAAATTGACCGTATGGTCAGAGGAATCTACAGTAAAAGTCGATAATTAAGTTACCTTCATCCTGAAAATGTACTCAGCTGAATAACTTCATATAGCATAGAGCAATAGAAAAATTGATTTCTATATCCCAGATTCCCATTACAGGTCTCAGAAGTGATACAGAGCTTCACCTAGAGGAAAACATGATGACAGAATTGAAGGAAGACGCTTTCCTGCCTATGTTGGAGGACCTTGGGAAAAATGGGAAAATCTTTCTTTCAGGTGAGTTCCCGTCCGGTTTGCTATGCTTGCAAGTCTCGTATCGTTTTCTTCGTTCCAGGATTCGAGTTCTTCTTCTAATCACTCTGTCTTTTTGCAGGTAATCCCATCGAGTGTGATTCTTGGCTTGCATTCAGTCCGAATTTCCAGAAATTATGGAAGAGACTGGTTGAATTGGATTGCAAGAACGACATTTCACAACCTCCCCCCCAGAGATTGTTTCTCAATAAAGCTTCTTCCTTCAAGCCTTTACGGTAGAAATGGTTCAGAGTATGTCGCATACCAATTTCACTATTGTAACTTCGTCATTTCGGGACAAAAACTCGATTTTTGTTCTGATAATGGCCGGAAGTGCCTCGATTGAAGAACATTTGAGCACAGTGGCTCATATGGTCTGCTTTAAACCTTAAACCTTCTCAAATTATTTTAGATTAATATGTTATGAAGAAACAGCAGAATTTATATGTATGGACTAAAATTAACTTGAGTGGATAAAAATGTTCTAGCTTTGTGGGATCTCCAACGAAGGAAATCCAGAGAACCCATTAAGGAAATGTGGCTCACTAATAACGAGAAAATGCTCTTTGCTAATGAATTGATTCAAATAACAAAAGCCTTTTTCTCCAATATTGCTATCTCTCTTCATGCTCCATTTTCCTTTCCGTATAGAACTTCATTAATCTGACGTTACCTTGAAATACTATTTCAAGAAAAGCCGAATATTGTAATGGATTGCGAATATTGGGATTAACGATATGGTTTACATTAAAAAGATCGCCAGGAGGGTCTTGTAAACCCAAGGGTAGACTCAATATCACGATGGGTTAAAAGGGTAGAAGAAGAAGAAGAAGGGCTGAAGAAGGTGGCTCACATGGGTTACATGTCCAGTAGATCAGACTCATCAAGGGCATGTTTCACCGAGGCTTCACTGAACTGCTGCTCGTACTGTGACCATGACGAAATAGGTGTGGAACAAAGTCGACGATCTAATGGAATCGGGCAACTGCACTGCCGTCAAAATTATCTGACAAACCATCCAAAGGTTTGAGCATGGCATTCAGCGTACTCTCCTGCTCATGAAAGACTGAAAGGGGGAGGGACTGGCTGCCGAGATGGATATACTTGGGAGGTGGAATGAACACTTTCAATAGCTCTTAACCCTTGGGGTCCGAGTAATTTAAATGTGTCAACACTGTCACCGAAGTTCTTTTAATTCCTCATCGTGAGGCCAATGCAAGATAACTCGGGCATGGACCCAAAGAGTTAAACCCATCAACATTGGACGCTGACCTACCCGACCTGGAGCCTCTCAGCGCGGAGACTATTCTCACCATGGAGAAAGTTCTGCAGGTTAGCGTCAGCCTGACGAATGGGAAGTCTCCTGTGGTAAATGAAATCCGGAACGATGCTCTGAAATCAATAGGCACAAATGGGTGTTTGTGGCTGTATAGGGTGTGTCAGACTACTTCGGATTCGGGGACGGCACCTAGGGATTGGCAAACCGTTGTGGTAGTTTCTCGTTTTAATCTCTTCCAGCTCAAATGTTCTCGAATTCAAGAAAATTTTGAGACAAGCCAGAGTCTTAGTTAAATGTATATCTAAGGAGTCATGTTGGCATCAATGTGTTAGTCAGTGTTGCCACAGACAGGAAATATAAAATGATGTTATATGATATCATTGGACATTTCGTTAGGAGTAACCTCACATGATAAGATTATAAATATTTATGTGTTATGTTGAGACATAGAGCTACGTGGCACTTCTTGCACTTTACTTTCGATTGTGTCTTCATGCATGGTTTGCATCTTATCTTGTTTTCAACATGGACTGACCAATGTTCGGATCCATCGTATCAATCACAGTCAATCGTTCATTGGAATCTCACCGGTTTACGTCATTTGATAGGAATAAGTCAGACCTAGCTGAATGAACGAATTTATTTGTCGTGCTGTCCGTTCGCGATCTTGTGGTCATCAGAGAACGTTTTTAAGTACTAGAGAACGACCGTCTCTTGGGGAGGAGGGACACTTCAGGAAAGGAGTGTGTGCGAGGTATTAACAGGATGCATGTCCTGATTATGTCAACGTACATTCGTCTCGATGTCGGTCTCTTCTTTTTCGTCTTTTCAGTAGCCTGAGCTTTGCCGTCGCCATCATTCTGTGGGACATGAGCGTGATCATTTCTTCATTATCCATTTGTTCATACACGCCATCCAATTTTAAGAATGGTCAACTCCTGTTCATCAGATTCTGTATGACGGTTTACAACTTGTTCTTTCTTCGGAAGTCACAGTGTCAGCATCAGACTGAATCTCTCCAGTAAATATTGCAAAATCCGACATGTTTCGGGCCTTCAGTATTCAATGAAATTACATATTCTGGGTGATTGTAAGGAAACTCCATATGTCTTTATAGCCATAACCTCTGTCCAAATATGGACTTATGCAAGTTACCATTATGCCACTTGAAATGAATGTCATTAAATTTCAACATCACGTCCTGCAATTTCCTTACATTTTCTCAAACGGAAAGTCACATTTTCAAAGGAGTGCGAAAGTAACTCCCTTCGGATGTTATTGAACACTCCACTTACCTTTTCTTCCAGTCGTTCCCAAATTAAGTCAGTTTGTTGCATACAATGGATCTTTGGCTCATTCCCATGAGAAAAAGTCACGAACGGTAAAATCTGGGCTTTCGGCAGGCCACAATGTTGGTCCTTGTCAGTATTTTCAAGAGATCGGGGTGTCGACGGTCTTCCACTTCGCGTCGCACCTTTAACTGAACCGATAGTAATCAGCTCGTTTGGGCAGTTTTTATTTTTTTCTTAAGATCAAGAGTTGCATGCCTCCCTCTGTCCTTCCGTCACCATCTCTGAATCTCCGTTGCAGAACTCAAAACTTCATATCTCGGCGAAATTTTAGCTCGGTCACGACGGTCAACTCCTGCTCCATGTTTTGACAACAATGGAAACAATTGTATTTAATCTGAAAACCTAATTTAAGGTCAAGAAGTTACCTCTCGAATTACATCAGAAGTAAATTTCTATTCGCATTTCAATTTGAATCACTATTTGAAAATAGTGATCACTTGAAAGCCCCTCGGTAGATAAAACCTGTGTATCAGTCAGGAACTAGAGACAAGGCTCACAATAAACGAGGCTCTATGACTATTCATGTACTAAACCATATTTCCAATGGCATTGTAGCTTAAAGCTAGCCACGAGAAGTACTACTTAATTAAAGCCTAGACTTTGACCTCATGCAGATTTTGCAGGCTAACTAAATCATATTCGATTGAGATTCGGCTGAATTCAGGTGGAATATGGTGGAACAGTACCGCTTGATCAGGGAAAGAATAATTCCCATAGAATCTCCTTTTTGAAGTGATACGAAAACCAATTGAAGTAAATGAAAATATGAAAAACATTTTTCAAAAGCTTTTTCTTTCATCAACCTCAACCTCAACCCCACCTCCCCTTTCTCTACAGGACTCACTACCTTTAGGCCTGGGCCAAACTGACGGCTATTTCTGGTCAGGCCTAGGCCGCCTACCTTTTTTTGCTTGAAAGAAACCCAATTCTCTACTAATGTGACCAACTTGTCTGTATCACTCCATATTCGAGACATCTTGTCAAGGATGTGAAACGTTAGGCCTACTTGGAGTTCCTTGAACCGTCATGACTAGGTCTGAGGAGAGAATGCCTCCAGGAAGCATGAAATCCATGCGGCGTGTCATCCTGTTAATTCGGGGATGTCCTGATAAGATATCGCTCTATCCCACCACATCGATCAGCCACTGGTAACCACCGTTTCATTCTTAGTTCATCTCATGAATTCAGCAAAAGTCACATACATTGAAAAACTGAATATCCAGACATCGATACGAAGGCCGAGGCAGTCATGAATCTGATATAACTCCGGCCCTATATCTGGCAACATTGGGGGACGGGACCAGAGCCAGCACTCTAAGACTAAATGAAAGATAGCTAATTTAATTTTTCATGGCGAAATGGTGCATTGCAAACAACATGAAGGCCACTTTTCGTCATCTACAAATCAATATTTTTCTTTCCTCCGAAAACCCCCAGGAGTGGCTACCCAGGGGGGAGGATAAAAGAAATGGAATGAAATTCACATCTTCAAAAAGCGAGTTTCAATGTCCTCCACCACCCCTGGGTGAGGGAGCTTCACATTTTCCGGAGCGATTCTGTATTGAGAGAGGAAGAAACATGCTTAATTTCATTCCTTTTGATGCTCTCCGAGAGGAATACGAGGAGTTTGAATTTGCTACAGGAAGGGATTGTAGGAAGGTAATAGGCCCTGCTGCGCCTATTGAAATATGTATGTCCATATTTAACTAGCGAGTTTGTCTGCCCTTCGGGCAAACAAACTCGCTATGGTCGCGCCTTCGGCGCTCTATTACC